TACAATACGGCTTCCCTCTACGGTTCTTACCACAATAGACCACATCGGCTTTCGTCAGAGCTTTAACCTTCTCACGGTTCTTAGAGTCGGCACCAGCACCATAGAAGACGGAGACACAGGACTTCTCGATGTTCTCAATCTCCTGGATACGAGCAACCTTAACAGGGGACGAAGTAGGATGACTGTGAACAGTAGGGTCCTTGCCCAACACCTCAGAGTCCTCAAACGAACGACATGCCGACCTTATAGCCCCAGAGACACTCGGACCAGACGTAGAGAAAAGAGGAAGTAGAGATTCCCAATCCTGGTGGACATCATCTTCAAAATGCCACACCCCTCCTGACATTGCTTGATGACAACTGCGAATTCTATCAACAGTATGCTTCCTAAGATTCATAGGGAGCTTACCAACGATAAGGCGGGTCATCAATTTCAACTCACTCCGATCGGAAGGATATACCTCACCGTACAAAACATAAATACCCTTAACCTTCCGCAAAAAGGAATCGCACAAGCGAGTGCCTTCAAATCGCAACTGTGCCAGGCGTCGCTGGTACTCCTCCTTCAGTGGTAGCCGAGAGCAGAACTGCTTGGTGAGCGAATCTACCAAGGGCTGCCACCTGTAGGCATTATCACCAACTTCCTCAAGGGCAGCTTCCTTGACCTCCTTCTCCTCAAGAGTTGCTAAGAATGCAATGGTGATAGTACACTCAAGGGTCTTCACTGGGACGAAACGTTCCTCGCCACGACTGCTCATATGTATTCCCCCGCCAGCCTCCACTAGCAGACGACCAAAGGCACCCAGATGAGCCTTGAGTTTAAACCGATCAGTGAGTTTGGGGAAAACGGATTTTACCAACAGCATCAGCAGTCAAAATACGCCCCTTCCGGACACGTCTACCAGCGTAATACGCCAAAGGGGGATCCGGCGCGTAAGAATATCGTCGATAGTCCGGTATAGGACCATGAGAAGATAAGGCCGAGGGCGATGATGATGATGATGATGACGGCGATGACGGTGATCCACCAGAGGCAACAACCGGGGGTAGTATCTTCACTCGACCATCCCGAGTTTTTTCAACACCGGATGGTAATCCTGCTAATGCCCCGGCAGTCAACGTCGGGACAGCAGCTCCACCAACAACCTCAGTATCAAGACCTCTAATAGACCCCTCTCGAGACCGAACCGATAGACATTCCGCAAGGTCGGCCTCCACCTTAGCCAATTCTCCTTCAATCACCAACAGCTCTTCTTCGTGAACCTTCTCTCGTCGTTCTAACTCAAGTACCGTAGGGTCTTCAGCGTTGTCAGGAACAGCTAAGATCA